GATTTTTCATTAGGTTCAATTGTCAGGTCTTATCAAAGTTTAGAAAGGTTTGGCCTATACTTCTTATAGGAAAGACAAGCTCAAGTAGACTTTGTCCTCCTATTTCTTTTTTTCTTTTTTTTTTTTTTGAGGGGGGGGAGGCTACCGTTGTTTGTGTAAAATGGTATGAGGATAGAGCTAATTGCAATTCAAAATGTCTTAACCCTCTACACGCTGGCCTCCAGTACTAAGCATATGATCCCTAAAATACAATTCTTGGATTTATTTACAAGTAGCACTATGTTCAATTCAGTTCTAAGACATAGCTATCTACCAAATCTACTAGTTCATGTGCATCGAAGAGGCAAATTTACGAAATTGTTCTTAGTTCCTTTGATAAAAATGGCCATTTAACTTTAGCTCTCTTCTTAAGGGTATTGGTTTTTAGAATATGTCCCTAAAAGGCCATAAATCAATGAAACCAATCTTGGGGTGTTCCCTTTTCCAAATGGCTTGTAACTTGATGAGTTCCATGTAACACTTGTAAGGAGAAAATAGATCTGGGAACCAATTCCAATGAGATTGAAGAGAAGAGTTCCAACTAACAATTGGCAATTGTACCTATTAACATCGATTAATAAATTAATCTCTTGGAATGTTAGAGGTATCAACAATATTGCCGAGAGAACTATGATTAAAGAGGCGTCAAATTAATGGGACTTTGATATGTTCTGTTACAAGAAACTAAAGTGGATAACATACACTTATTTTGATGTGGATTTATTGGCATCTGGTCTAGAAGCTTTTTGTTAGTTGATAGCAGAAGCACGGGGTAGAAGCTTAGTTAAATGGGCTTGAATTTAGATAACATACAGTTATTTTGGTAATTTATGCAACTCAAAATTGAATGAGATTTATTATCCTTTATTTTCTCTCTATTGATAGGAAAAGAAGAAGTATTGTTGAAAGTCATTAAGATCTATGGTGAAATTTTTAGTATCTTCCTCTTATCTACATGTTAATGATCTTTTTTCCAAATTGCTCCTTTGTTTCCTTTGTGCCGAAAGTTTTTTGTTTAATTTGACAACAAAGTTCCTCTTAGTTTCTCCTTGTTTGGAATCTTGAGATTTCTATTGGATTTTTTTTCGCAGGGAAGTCTTGTCTACTGGATTACAAACAGTTCATTGAGTTGCATACAGGTTGATTCTTTTTCTTTGAAAAAACTCATACCTCTATATTGGATGTTTGAATGGCTATATTTTGGTTGGCTGCCAATCCAAGGATAACTTAAGTTTCATAATCACAATGACTAGGTTATCACAATCACAGGGTTGTTGAGCACTCAAACAAGAGTATTGCTAAGGTTCATTATAAGAAGTCCAAAAATAATGTTGAATTTATTTATAAAATGTCGATATAGCCTAATATGTTTAGAATCTTTAAATAGGAAAGTAATGACAAAATAACTAAATAAGAAATTAAAAAAAAAAAGAAATAAAATATTAACCAAATATAATAACAAAAGAAAATATATGAAAATATAGTAGTTCTCTTAGTGCTCCTATGATAGTGAGAACTATGCTAGATGAGATGGTCCCACATCATTCTCCCGCTCTTAAAAAAACTTGACTCCAACATGAACTTTTGAGATCATAATCAAATAGGTGAGAATCCATTACAAGAAATTACTCTTTACTTGCCCATGAAGCATTTGAATTCCAACTGCTGTTCATCTCATAAGTCATTGATAGAAATCTCCACCAAGTGAATTAATATACTTAATATATCCATTAACCAAAATGTCCCTTGTAATGTACGTTGGCAGTGAAGAAAATGTTTGAGTGTTAAGAACCTAAAGTTATGCAAAACAATAGGTAGGAGACTCAAATTTGCCCCAGTTAGGAAAAAATCCTCTATTGAAATTTTGAAAGAAAAATATTCTCATGATGAGTTAAATCAAGTAAATAAACATTAGGGTAGGGCTTTCTCATGATGAAAGTCGTAATAGGTTTTACCTTTTGAATCAAATAAAAGGTTACTCTGTTCCATTTTATTGTTATCAATTTGAAAATATCAGTTAGGTTATTTATTTATTTTTTCAACTTTTTTACTTTAGTTAAGGAGACTTGTCCTTGAGGATTTTCAAATGCTTCAAATATAAATATCATCTCATTGTCTCGCATGATGGTATCTAACTTTGTAGCAATTATCTCTCAAACACCCTGCTGTACGTGCAAAATTGGGCTTACCAATTAATAGTACTCCAAGAGCAGCTGCGAAGTCTGAAGAAGTGGTTACAGCTGAAATAAGATCTTCAGGTTCACCCTCAAAGGGGCGCAGGATTCCTGTAAAAGACCTAAGCCCTAAAGAACTGCTTGGTGTAAGTTGCTAAGCAGCAATTGGATACTTGTCTTGTTTGTTAAGCATGCATTCTGTTTATTGAGTTCATCATAGTTGGTCTTGTTGACAGCTCTCAGTGATACACTTATCAAAAGGGGACAAAGAAAGAGCAATTCCTTTGCTACAGTAACTTTTCTAAAATTTCTCAAATAAGTATTTTCTTATAGACAAGAGCTTTATCCATGACTGTTATACTAAATAATCAACATTTATGTTCAGATTGGCTCTTGACAAAGATCCTGGATGCGTAAGAGCTATGGTCATAATGGGACAGACTCTTTTCCAGCAAGGACTACTGGCAGAGGCTGCTGAATGTTTGGAGCGTGCTATTTCCAAGGTTTGTCAAGATTAGTAACTTCTCATTGTTTGCCACCAAGTCTTCAGCCTATTTTGATCTAGAGTATGTTTGCTGCATTATCACAAGAACATGGTTTTGTGATGATTGCCAAAGCTATGGGGAGCATAAAAAATAGGATATTTAACTTAATAGTAGAAGACAACTGAAAAAAAGTACTTAATATTTCTTTATCCAACCTTATGCCTAAATGGTGTTTATTTCAAGCTTTTGGATTGATGTGGCGGCACCACAAATCCCACCATTTCTCTTCCCAGCTTAATTTACGCCTGCAAGGTACTTTATATCACTAGTTTCAGAGTATTACATCGTTTTATGAAAATTGCTAAAAATATGTTCACCTAAAAAAGTGGACCTTAATACTCATTTTGAAGGTAAGGATAGGGCTTTCATGTAGATTAGCATTTCTTCTGGTACTGAATTTGATTTCTGATGGAAGAAGGCAGGATAAGTTGTTTAATGATCTTATGAGTCTATATATCATCTTATCCTCTGAATTCTTTTTATGCACCAAAATATAAGTGATGCAGAACAAAAAGATTCTAAAATGACATGTTTCAACATTAAAAGATATTTATGTAATATAATATTTATTTATTATTCATGCTATTTAGCATATTTAGGAACTAATATGTATGGGATTATTATGATATGAGTTATTATTTTCTACTTAGTGGGATCATATTTAGTTATTCTCTATTATAAACTCTTTAATAAGTAGTTAATACTAATGTAAACTTGTGCTTATAACAACAAAGGTAAGTATTACTGTTTTAACCATTAGATTATAAATTTTGAAAAAACTATCCCTTTAAATATCAATATCTAACAATTAAAAAGGTAATCCTTACTATTAATATTGTAAGCTCGAGTTTACTATATTATTTTTCTAATTAATCAATCTAATTTTTTATTTTAGTGCATTTTCTAGGGTAACTTTAAGTTTTCCTATTTTGATTATGTCTGGTGCCTACCTAGGATACTATAGCTCCATTGTTATTTAGACTATTATGATTCTTATACAATACTATGCAGATGTTGATTGATTGTTGATATTTGAGATCTCTAGCCTTATTTTTTTGTGGTTAATTCTACCTAGGTATTGAGTTCAAGCTCCCTTTTCTCCTACTTAGGACTTCTTCATTTCTGTCATCTTACGTTTCTATCTTTGTTACTCTTGTAGTCCCTTTTACGACAGTGATTCTTCATGGTTTTGTTTTGTTACTAAGTAGAAATTGTTCTCTGAGCTGTTTCCAGCTATTCCTTTTTGGCCATCCGGCTGAAGTTGAAGATGTGGATCTTTTAATTCAGGCATCTCAATGGGCTGGTGTTGCCTTATATAAGCAGGTGAAGCCTACTTTTACTTTTCATTTCTAAGCTTAAGAAGAACAGGCATGGACATATAGATTTTGTGAAGTAACCTTAGACCTTTGCTTTTGTTGCACTCCTTCCGCATCTTTTATTTTATTTATTTATAGATTTTTTTTTTTGAATAAAAGTTAGAATAGTAATAAAAAGGTATTAAGGGGGTACCGTCCATTTACAAAAAGATTTTACATATTAATGAGCATATCAACAACTAACCTAATACCTTCTAAGGATAATAAATTACGATCCAAAAGTATGGAGGCAAAATAAGATACCATCTATCTCTAATATTTACAAGAGTATCTTCTATATTTTCAAAAGTACGATTGTTTTTCTCTTTCCATAAAATTCAAAAAATAGTAAGGGGAATAAGGCAAGCAGCTTTGTTATAAGATAATAAACCTTCCCATGCCAAAGCTCATTATAAATAGAACCTGCCATTGCCCAATTTATACCCATCAAGCTGTAAATGATGGACCATAAGTTTGTAGAGAAAGGGCACCATAAAAGGATATGGTTACAGCTCTCAGCATTGCATTTGCAGAGGAAACACCGGTTGACCAAAGTTCTGCCTCTTTTCATCAAATTATTTATTTATAGATACAGTTGTATGTTTATATGTTGTTTGATTTTTGTTTTCTCAGTTTTGTAAGAAATCAAATTTTAGGAAGGGAAGTACTTAATTTAGGGTTTGAACTGAAAAGAAATTTGGTAACTGGAGACGTAGAATGGAAAAGTCATAACATTGATGGTGGACATGCTGCCTTGCCCGAGTTTGTGTAACATCTCGAGTTCGAACCTATTGCCCTAATGTATTTTGTGTGCCATCTTTCTCTTTTTAATTTCTGTGGGGGATATCTTAACCTCTTTTTTTTTTTAAATAAAAATAATATCTATTCATAGACACCAAGGGGATGCAAACTCGTATATAAAGGTATTTACATATCTAGGAAAATATCAATCAGGTCCCTAAGTTCCTCACAAGAATAAAGAGAATTACCACCCTTAATAAAAAAAACTAGGGGTTGAAACCATGTATTATTAAGACTACCAAATTAGCTTCTATGTCCTCAAAAGCTCTTCCATTTCTTTCTTTTCAATCCGCCCAGAAGTAATCTAGGGAATAAAACTTGGAAGGTTCTGCACTTTACTGATCCCCTTCCATGCCAAATCTCATCCCTCAGTATACTAGTCATCACGCAATTATTACCCAGGAGAATATAAGCAAGAGTCCACAATCTATAAACGAACAGACATCACAAGAGGATATAATTATGCAATTCTGCATCTCTCTTGCACAAAAAGCAGCAACCATTAACCAAAATTTTGCTCCTCCTAATCAACTTGTCAAAGGTGAATTGCATTCTCTAACTGCCTCTCTAAGTAAAAAAAGCC